TATCTGCTCCGAGAGACGATGGAGAGGGAGGGCAAGAGGAGGTGGGGGGGGGGGGGGGTACATTGGCTGGGAGCCCAGCTGTGTGTTGGAGCGAAGCCGTGGTTGACGTGTGAGCCTAATTATGGCGTGGAGAGACAGAGAGAGAGGAGAAACGGGAGGTGGGGGGGGGGGGGAGAGATGGAGTCACGCTCTGTGTTCGAAGGGCGTGGTTTGGTCATGCTGTGGGGGAGGACAGAGGGCCGTTGGAAGGTTGCAACGTGTGCGCAGAATGCTTTGGTGTCGGCCGCTGGCTTGGCTCACATCTGATTAAAAACTCTTTACCCCATCAAAGTTTTACTGCTCGTCTTTAAAGCAGAATTTAAAAGCTGGCTGCTTTTTAACTGGCGCTCTCCGTCTTTGTCAATCCCCCTACGTCTACGGCCCCTCCCGTTGTTACCCCCGGTTGCTTTTCTGTCTGTGGGCTTTGTGGTCTGTCTGCATTCCCTCCTTTCATCTTCTTTGGCTCACTCCCTCTCCCCTCCTCCCTCTTGGACCTTCTGTTTTGCTCAGGTGTCCATCCAGCATACACAAACAACAGAGTTCCAGTTCTCCAGAGGTGTGGGGCCCAGAGGGAGCCATTGTCCCCAGCTCACGGGGCCCAAGATGGAGCCAGGAAGGCGATGAGAGACTCTGAGGACGGTCTTTGTATGCCACCCACTCTAACGCTGTCAAAAGGATTCCTGGAGGAAAAGGTCAGCCCCGGCTTCGGACCCACCAGGAAGCGCCCGCTCATCGTCAAGGCGGAGCACGAAGACGCACAGGACGGAGAACGGGTGTCCCACGCTGAGAAGAGAGCCAAGCTTTCCACGGGTGAGGATTTATTAAACACGCCTTCTTACACGCACTTCAATCCTGCGCTGGAAATCACCTTCGTCTTTTCATCTTCTCTCATCTTTCATACTCTACGCTTCAGTTTGTGTGATGTTCAGCTCATTCTAATCCCTTGTTCCTAAAAAAAGGCGTTTTATTCATTTTGTTGCTCCCCCCTTTTCAATCAATCCCACCTTAAACCTGCTCCATCGCAGCCCTTCCCACTCCGTCCTGTGCTTCGCTCTGTGTGGCAGCCAGCTCCGACTCGTGTTTAATCCTGCCTTTGAGCGAAGCACGCCACAGAAACGAGAGAGAGAGAGGGACAGCCATTCTTTCTCTCTCCTCTTTCAGCTCTGCCGTTCCTCTGCTGCGCTCACCCGCCCTCTTCAAAGCTGCTCTTTTTGTTTTTTCCTTTTTCTTTCATGTCTTTTTTTCTTTCCTCATCTGTTTGGGTTTCTTTCTTTTTTCTGGCATGTGGTATCGTGCTTGCTCTCCCCGGCTCTGGCAGACAAGTCAAATATCCATCCCCTGTGAATTTTTAGGGGGGCAGAAGGTTGCCTCTAGCTTCTCTAGTTTTTATTGCTTTGTTTCGGCTCGTTTCTGAACTTCACTCCTTTCTTTACTCCTCAGTCTGCTTTTTACATCCTCTTTTCTTTTGCCTAACTCTGCTGTATTTTAAATATAAGACTTTTAAGAGTTTTAGTAGCTCGTAGAATGTTGTTTAAATTGTCTTTATTCCCAGTATTTTATACAGTAGTCCCTCGTTTATTGTGGGGGTTACGTTCTGGACATACCCCTCCCCGCTCGCGCGCAGTAAGTGAAAATCCGCAAAGTAGCGATGTTGTATTTATTATAGTATTTATATATTTTAAGGCTTTACAAACCCTTCACACACTCTTGCAATGTTCTAAACTCTTAAACCTACGTCATTTTAACAACATACATGCAGTTCTGTATATGTAGCTACTAAATTTTACTCACCAGCTCTGCAGAACAGCAGCGCCTCGGTTCCGCTCCGACTTGGTTCCGTTTCGGCAGACCTACCCTGCTGGTTCTGGTCGGCTCTCTGACTCTGGGTAGTGGCGGTGAGCGCCGGACATCCAGAGTGAGCGCTGGACATACAGCGGTGCGTCACCGTTCGGGGTTCCTCTTGGGCTGGCTAGCAGCTCTCGGATTCGCTGATGGGTCTGGAGGTCTGGTTTTGTGCAGCCCATTAGCGCCAAAGTGCATTTTGTGGGGAGCTGGACTTTTGGTGGGCCAGCACAGGACCAGATTGAGCCAAATCTGGTTGAGAAAAAGTCCTGGTGTGCTCCAGAGAGTAGCTGGACCTACAGCAGCGCCTCCCCACTTGGAAGTCCTTGTGGGCCGGCTAGCAGCTCTAGGATTCGCCAATGGGTCTGGAGATCCGGTTCTTCTCCCGTTCCCGGTGGGATCGGTGCGGCTCTTCATCCATTGGGCACCGAAGTCACTAATAAGCATCAAACGTTTTCAGATCAGATAAAAACTTTTCCTCTAGTATTTCCACAGAAGAAGACAGAGCTTGGAGGTGGGGCACTGTTGGTTTCTGGAAAATGTAGTCGTCATTCAAGGATTCAAGGTTCTTTATTTGTCATACACACCACATGTGGTGGAACAAAACTGTGTACACAGGGTCCCAGTTATGTCCAACAAAAGTATAAAATGTAAAAGAAAAACAGTAATAAGATCTAAGATATGAACAAAGAAAAACGTTAACTAGAAATACACTAAGCACAAGCAGCATAATGAGCGGGATACAGCGTAGGCTTATTGAGAAAAAAACTACAAAATGGCGGCGCCTGTCTTAAGTATTTTTTCGTTAACTTGTTGCTGTACAGTATCCAGTACTTTCCCAATCACGTGAGTAATATTAAAGTTGACAATCATGTGTCCTGGACAATAAATTTTTCCATCGTGTTCAATCTTACTTTGAAAAACTGTGAAAGAACGAACCGCAAAGTAGCGAGGGACTACTGTGTCTTGCATGTTTCTTTGTGACTTTTCAGAGGATGTTGACATATGTAAGTATCTCAATGGCATATCAAAAAGTCACATTTTTGGATTTAGAAAACAAGTTTGATATAATGGATGGATCAGACTATTTAGGTGTGGTTCTGTGGAAAGAATATAAGCTGCTAATACAGTAATGCCTTACCTGTAGCTCTTTGATCAAACTCAGTTTGGAGAAATAGTCTTAATTCTGGCTTGAACATGTTGTATTAACAGAGACAAGATTGCTACTCTGTTATTCCATTTATAAAATCCTAAAGGTTTATGCATGTGGTATTTTTCAAACCTTTACATCACATTCCTTTTACATAGAATTGCAGTCATTTAGAAGCTCAGTTAGCAGCTATTCACTTTGCTCTTGGTCGTTAGCCTGGACTAGCCTTTAGTTAAGTCAGAATTAAACGACCATGTTCGTGTTGTCTGCAGATGAGCATGAGCAGGTCAACCCTGACGAAGATGATGATGACGAGGTGCGGAAACTCAAGGTCTGCATCGAGCTCAAGGGGCTTCGACTCAGCAAGCCAGCTGCAGGTGCTGCTGCGTCACCCGATGGCTTCCAGGTCAAACAGGAACAGGCCTGGTCCCAGCCCCGACTGCTGAGCCAGGCACTCGGCCAGCGGGAACGAAAGATGAGACTGACTGAAGCGGAGGACAGGGCCGCAGCGCACAGACACGACATCAACAGGAAATGGGGCTGCGAGAAGCTACCTAATGGTAAGAGCTAACCACCAGTTGTGCAAACCGCTGGGTTTGAACTCGAGTTCAGCTACGGTAACGGAAATCTATCTTTGGCTCACACTTTCTAGTTGAGCAGACTGTCTTTGGGGGATTTCCCGAGAGCAGTCAGGAAAGTGAGGAGGCTGAAGAAATGGGTTGGGGGGACTCTTCCTTCTGCTTGAGGGAAAAACTAAAAGTCAGAAAAAAAACCTGGGATCCACAAACTAAAATGCCAGCGGTGACCCCTTCATCTAGATGTTTCTGTTTGTTCAGCTCCTCTGCTTCAGGCTGTGGGAGGACAATGAAAAAGAGGACGTGATTGGTGGAGAAATACACCTGTAGGTGTAGCGTGACTAATGTGTGATCAATGATCTTTCTTTCTGGGCTTCAAGGCCAGTGATGAGGAAGGGTGTATGGTATGGTGGAGTGTTTGTGTTGGGCTTTCCTTTATCCATGCTCAGAAATGGAAGTGGCTCAAAAAAAGGGGATGAAATGAAAAAATCTGGAGAAAGTTGAAGAGAAATCGTGTTAATATTCTGCAAAGAAGTCACAGGCCTTGATTAGTTACTGATTTATTATTTATTTTTCACCTTGTCAGATGGCATCTCCATGGCAACACTTATGTGTAACAAATAATGTGGTTATTTCACGGAGTGTAAATCGGGGCTTCTGTGCTTTTGGTGGTGTTATGAGCACATTCAGTTGCTATATTGTTACCATATTTTCCGCCGTACATGTCGCACCGCCCTATAAGCTGCATCAGTCCAAATATGTCTAATAAAGTGGAAAAATCCATAAATACAACGCTTCTCCGTATACGTTGCATCTATTATGCGTCACAGCTGACAATTATTATTAAATTATTGAACAATTATTTGTTTGCTCAAAATGAAAGTAAAGGTGTGTCTCAGTCTTAACTTTTCCTTAATAAAATGCACTTTGATGGTCAAATCAGCTGCATTTTCAAAAGCCAATATGCGGAAACATGAACGCGCAGAGGGACGAGTCGCTGTGCATTTCTTCAAAATTTAACAAGATAACCACCTAAAAACAATTCTTCGTTTGCTCAACTTTATAGTAAAGGTGTGTCTCAGTTGAACTTTTCCTTAATAAATTCACTTCAGTGGTCAAATTGGCTGCATTTTGCCGGGGCAGCGCAGCGAAATGAAGCTTATTTGACATTTGCTCCAGGCAGACAACGGTGGCAGGCTTTGGCAAGCCAATTGTGTCATTAATAGCCACTTTTATCTATTACATGATACAACGACATGCCATACTCAATGGGATTTGCCATACTCAGTCTCAGTGAGATAAACCTGTATAAATAAAGGTTGAATGAAAATACTGCTCGACTGCCATCTAGTGGCTGAAAATGGTAGTGTTGAATATTTTCAGTCAGAATGAATGAAAACGGTCATATCTCTGCCAAAAATTGGTTTATAAATATGGGGGGAAAAAAATCCATAAATGCGTCACTTTGGCGTATGTCACAGGGCCTGCAAATTATGTGAACAACTGCGACTTATAGGGTGAAAAATATGGTAATTATTTAAATAACTAAATTCATTGCTATGAACACCCATTTTCCCTCTTTTCTGTTTTAGAATCACTGCAGCTATAATTTAGTCTGCTGTGGGCTGCCATGCAGTTTGTGTTATTTACTGCAATCTTTTGCACAATTAATGTGATGGTGAAACATTTTTTTAATATTTAGCAGTGACAAAATATTTTAAGTTTGATTTTTTTTTTCATTCATTCATTCAAGGTTCATTATATTTTAAAACTTGCTGAATAAAAGCTTTGTCACAGCGCAACTCAGAATAAAAACCTTAGATCACATAATTCAGTGCATGATGAATGTTTTAAATTATCTTTAGACGTAAATGTATTTCTAATGAGCTAATAAACAACCTTTTTCAGAATGTGGTTTCAAGGGCAGTCTTATTTGTTTGCAAATATGTATGAAATTGCCTTTTTTTATTTAACTTTGAAGACTTGCTGCAGTGAACTTTTACATAAAAGTCTATGAGAGGGTCTATGTGGGTCTGGGTAGCATGATAATTTTACTTTTTTTTTATTCCTGGGCAAGCAGGCACGTGTGCGCCCAGACAGCGCTCTGTGCTTATTAATAAACCAGCAGAGTTTCAGAAATGGCCTCCGTGTCGTCCTTTTCCACTGAGCTCTCCCTCTCTTTTCTCTTTTTTTCTCCCTCCTCTCATTCCAGGAGTAGCTGCCCTTCCCCCCGGCCAGCTGAAGGACAGAGAGCACCAGCCAAACCCCTTCTCAGGTGACCGTGGCCTCAAGGAGCCCAGGAGGGGCCCCCATTTTCCGGCCCCAGAGCTGTGCGTGGGAGGCACCCCTCCCCTCAAGCTCCGTCGCCATAGTGACACGGACAAACCCAAGGGCAAGCGGCCGTGCAAGACCAAACACACCAGCCAGAGAGAGAGAGAGCGGGAGAAGAGGAAGGAGGCCACTCCTTACAGCCCGAGCCAGAGCGCCGCGGCTGATCTGGGATCAGCCGAGGACGACAAGGTGAGTGCTGATAGGAGGCATCTGGAGGTTCAGAGTCTGTTCAGTATGCCTGTCGGCGCCTCTGATTATGCAGCTGGGAAAGGCGGGACGGAGGAAGGAAGTATGTTTACAATGTTCAGAGAGCTGCTGGAGCTTTGACCTCCCCGTGCCCTTAGCGGCTCCCTGCGGAGCCCCCGCCACCCCTCCCTTCTTCTCTCTTGTGCGCGTTTGGTCTCTGGCCTTAATTGTCGAGCGTGTGTCATCCATGCTGTTTTGCGTGTGAGTGAGTGTCTGCGCGTTGGTGAGCATTCCTGACAGCAGAAAGCCCGGAGCAGCTTACACATCACGCTCGGTCCTGGGTGAGTCGGAGGAATGTGGCAGCCACAGTGAAGTTCAAAAGAAGAGAGGCAAAAAAAAAAAAAAAGAAAAGGAGGGGGGGCTGAGTGGTTTTCCGCTGTGCTTCTTCTGTCCCCTGCTCCTCCTCCTCCTCAGCCTGACAGCTGCTCCGACATGGAATTCCACTGTGAGGACACGCACGGATCGCACGCTCTCTCACAAGTGCAGACGGGCGACTCTCTTCGGTGCGTCGCTCTTGAAGAGCTCCGTCGGTTCAGCGATTAAAGGAGAACGGCACGACAGCCTGCAGTGTTTGGGGTGTGAACGCTTGGTGTGAAAGCTGTCTGAGATTTCATTTATTGATGCGAGATGTGTCTTCAAAACATAATCAGATTGTTTTTTTGTTTTTTTTTATAACAGCACCGTTTTGTGTGCGAGTAGGACAAAAAAGTCTTAAAAGGTTAAAACATGAGATTAAATTGTAAGTTGTTTTTGTTCGGCTGCAGAAGTGTGCGGTGTTGTCCACGCGGCCTCGAGTGTTGTGGCCCCTCTGCTACGTGGCAGCTCCTCTCATGCTCCTCTCCCACTCTCTCCTCCAGCTGACTGAGCAGCGCAGCGCTCCGAGGAAGAGAGACGCCTCTCCTAATCATTATCCCAGCTCTCCGCTCAAGCCCTGCTCCCCCACCGCTGCGCTCTGTCCGCCCTCCCTGCAGCCCCAGGCGAACAGCAGAGCTCCACCAGAGGCGGCGGGGCTTCACAGGAGCCCCCCTCCACCGGACCCCTCGCCCGTGCGTCCCATCCCGCCGGAGGCCAGGAGGCTGATTGTAAACAAGAACGCCGGGGAGACCCTGCTGCAGAGAGCGGCGCGGCTCGGCTACGAGGTAACGGGCTTCGCTCAAACTCATCCTCCCCTCTTATCGCTTCACATTTTCCGCTCTTTTACTTCGTCTCCGAATCTTAACTCTCTTTTCTTAAATTGAGCTCATTTTCTTCCCACACTTTGTTCCTGTCTGTGACTCTGGCAGACTCTCTTGCACTTCTCCCTTTGCTTTTTGTATTATTCCTCTATCTCACGTGCTCCATCCTATTACCCGTCTCCTCTTTCTTTCTCTCCCTCTATCAGCACTCTTTCTATTCCTCTCTTTGTGACTCAGATTGTCGTTGGCACCCCCTTCCTCCTCCTCCTCCTCGTATGTGCGCACACACACACACAAACCCTCTGCCTCCCCTCCTCTCGCCTTGCACCGCTCTCACATCTCATTAATTCTCCGTGAGGCGAAGTGTGACACACACGCAGGCGCACACAGACGTGCGCAGGCAGCATGAGGGATCGCTGGGATCGTTAGATGGAGACGGATGCTCGCTGCCTCTCGCCGGTATCGGGAGATTTTTTTTTTTCTCTCCCCCCCCCCTCGCCTTTGTGCACAGCTGCTGATCATTCGCTCCTAAACCAGATTCTTCTGCGCACACAACAACAAAAAGAAGAGAAATGTGTGTGCGCTCAGTCGCACAGCTCCCGTCGCTCTGAAAGCTTTTAATTAAACTTGGATGGCCTGCTGTCTTGTTCTCCCGCGTGTCTTAAACGTTTCCCACCCAGTCTTGACAGATTTTACAAATTGATTTATTGATCTTAGCAGTTTCCGTGCCACTTTACAGCTTCAGTTTGTGTGTCCACTTTGCGCGTTTGCGTGCGCGCATGCAGGATCCTTCACACCAGCGCTCGTTCCTGAGTTGCTTTATCGTGGTGCGTGTCTGTTGGACACATTTATGATGATGAGAGGAGTGTGTGTCGATGATTATGCGCGTGAGGCTGCATAGGAGAGAGCAGGAGTGTGAATGAGAGGTAAGCACTGGGAGTATAATCGTGTTCTAATGGCCCTCTAATGTGCCGTGGTGACTGTGGTTAGCAGCAGCGGCGGCTGTTTTTCTCCCTGCCTTTTGCGCGCACACACACACACACACACACACACACACACACACACACACACACACACAGGTTGCAGTGCAGCAGCAGGGTTCAGTCAGCCATGCTCCAGAGAAGCTGGCTCGTCTCTGATTTATGCGTCTCTCTCTCCCGAACGTTTTTTTCTCCCTTTCCTCTTTGCATTTTCCCCCTTCCTGCTCCTCATGTGGCGATGCATAGAGAGAGGAGGAGGGGGAGCGGGGGAGAAAACCTGAGACTACACAAACAAGGCGCTGACCGCTGCTCAAACAACACCGCCACCCCTCCCTCCTCTTCTTTTTTTTTTTTTTCCCTCCCACCCTTTCTTTCTTTCTTTCTTTCTCTCCCTCGCTCAGGAAGCTCGTCTCTCACTGCCTGTGTGTGATAAGCCCGGGGCAGGCCCCTGGGGCTCCCACGCACACACACAGACACACAAGGACGTGTGCAGAGGCACACACCACTTTATGCATGCCGTCTCACCCACACACACACACACAAGCTTGTAGCTGCACAGAGAGCTCATCTGATGCTGGTGTTTCAGTGCCGCAAGCTTCGGGCTTATCACACACACAGACAGCGAGATACAAGGGCCGTGAGAGACACGCATGTGCACGCACACACACACAGAGAGATTATGAGTATGCAGGAAGTATGCACAGTTAAAAAAAAAAAAACCTGACCCAGTAAGCACATGCGTAGACATCCCCAGTGTGTTTGTCTCCATATGCTGCTCAGAGACAACTCTTAACGTTGGCTGCTGCTGCTGCTGCTGCTGCTGCTGCTGCTGCTGCTGCTGCTGTCACACCCCCACACAGAGCTGAAACTCACAATCACCTCGTGCACACATGCAAAAAAGCACTGGTTGTTTGCACACGCTCAGGCATCCCTTTGTGTAAAAAGCCAGTACACTCAGAATCACCTCTCCTCACACGCACCACACACGTTCCCGAGGCCCCGGCCGGCACCGTGCATATTTCATGTTCATTTAGTTTAGCAATCCGTGCCTCTGCACATGAAAGCCCACTCTCTCCGTCTTCCTGCCTCTCTCACTCCCCTTTTATTCTCCCGCGCTCCCTCGTCTGCCTCGCTCGCTGAGCATTTGAAATGGTAATGAGGAGAGATTCTGCGGATGTCTTCATCCCTCTCACGCTGGTGATCGGGGCCCCTCAGCTCTGCCCGTCGAAAGCTCAGATAAAGGTGCAATCTGTCATTTATCCTCCACCAGTGCTTCTCTTCCGAGGTCTCCCTCTTCAGATCGATGTGAGATCCAAGCAAACACAAAAGTTGGGTTTTATTAGAAGTACTCTGTTGGATCAGCATCTGTGATGGCAAGACTCTGAAGGGAAATGGCTACTATTATGGGATTTGTTTAATATCCAAATACACACCAACTTGAAAGGAACTGATGGCAAACAGTCTTGAACTACAGGATCTATCCTTCAAAGGAGATGACACATTTTTTACTCTGGTTAGACTTGATGGACAAGACCAATGTGAGCGCCATCATTTAAAATGGTGACTGTTTGAATTGATGATTTTCATCTGAAATGGCTGAATGGGTTTGCTTAGATCCTTCACTGAACCTGAAAACATGCACAGCCCAAAACGTGTTTGAGCAAATGTTCTCATGTTTTAAAAGCTTTTATCATAATGTTGTTTTATTATTTCAGCCTAAAAATGATGTAGACACATAATGAAAACTTGATTATAACGTGTCTTTGGACCATTGGCCACTGGATTGTAGCTTTACACATTAGTCTGATAGGTGGCGATAATGAACAGCTTTATAAACTATATTTAAAAGGAAGTGAAAATCCGTGAAGTAGCAATGTTATATTTATTTTAGTATTTATATATTTTAAGGCTTTAGAAACTCTTCTCACACTCTTGCAATGTTCTAAACTCTTAAATCTACATAATTTTAACAACATATGTATATGTACTTTATAATACTGCAAAGTTTTACTCACCAGCTCTGCAGAACAGCAGCTCGGTTCCGGTCGGTTGGGCCGGGCTTGGTTCCAGTTCTGCAGCAACGAAGCCCACAATGTTCTAAACTTGTAAATCTACTGTTTTTAACAACATACGTATATGTAGCTACTAAATTTTACTCACAGCTCTGCAGAACACATCGGCTCGGTTCCGGTCGGGCAGACCTACCCTGCCGGTTCTGGTCTGGTTCTGGTCAGCTCTCTGCAGCCCTTGCGCACCAAAACGCAGGACCTTCAGTTGACCAGCATCAGATTCACTGATGAGCCTGGAGGTCCGGTTCTGGTCTGATTCCCGGTCAGTTCCGTGTGTGTCTCTGCATCCGCTGGGCACCGAAGTCACTATGAAAAATGACCGAACTTTTTCGGATCTGATCAAAACTTTCCCTCCATTTCAGCAGAAGTCAACAGCTGGAAGCACTGTTGGCTTCTGGGAAATGTAGTCCATTTGAGTGGCGATAGTGTAGGCTTGAGAGAAAACTACAAAATGGCGGCGCCTGTCCAAAGTATATATTTTTTTCCGTTAACTTTTTATCTCGTACCGTCCCAATCATGTGAGTAATATTAAAGTTGATAATCACGTGTCGTGTACAACTTATGTTGAAAAACCGCGAAGCAGCGAGGGACTACTGTAACAGTAAATCCCTTCACAAATAACCTTTTGTGTAGTTTGTCTTTCTCTGGGCGCAGTTTAGCTGATCTGTTGTGTTCGGCCTCACCTTTGGAGTGAAGGTTTTATTGTCTGCGTTGGTGCACATGGTCCACTGGGTCACAAAAGTTCTGGGCTACATTTGGTGGTCCAGATAGGGGGATTCTCTACCTCTGGTACAGAAGGTGACATTTATGTTGCACAAGCTTTGCAGCTGAGTGGACTAAAAATTCTGTCAAATTGGGCTTGACTTGGTTAAGATGAAAATGTAGCACCCGCTCTGTGAGGTAATGGGCCGAGTCTTTGTTTAAAATTCAGACACCGGCTTTGGAGTCAGCGTCGTCTGTTAGCAAAAAGATCTCATAAACCAGAAAAGATGGATTTTATTGAAACTTTTAAGAAAACATTGAGATACATCAATTTAAGATGTCCGTTGTAATCCACATCAGCCAACATATAAATGGCTTTAACTCAACTTTTGATCTAAAATTTGATCCTTTAATTATTTAATCTATAGACCTTTTGATTTTCTAATCTACAACCAGAACGATTGATTTACACAAAGTTGTGGCTGATCCAGCGATAAGTGACTTTTCTCTTTCTTCTTTCTTAATTTGAACGGGGTATAAAAAATATCAGCTCCTCTGCTCATCAATTAGCTGAGACATCATCATCATCATCATCATCAGTGGCTTCAGTTCAGGCAGACGTCCTCACTCATATTTCACTTTTCAGAGCACGCATCAACTTTCTTTCGACTGTGAAGTTCAGTCATGCATCATCTGCGCTGTGATACGCATTCGTAAGCAGACATCCTCTGTGTGCGCGCGCGCGCGTGTGACGCGGGAGGCAGCGCTGGAAGGGGTTAAACGTCTGAGTGATGCATTGATTGCAGGGGAGCACAGGGAAGCATTCTAGAGAGGGAGATTAGAGGACGGAGCGAAGGAGAGGAGGAGGAGGAGGAGGAGGAGGGGGGAGGGTTGTCTCATTTTACTGCGGAGGAGTTGAGTGTGTGTTTGTGTGTGTGTGTGTGTGTTCGTGCGTTTGGCGGGAAGCCGGGGCTCTAGTGCTAAGCTCCTCGCGCTCTCCCAGCGATATTAAACACGGCTCTGGAGGTTTAGCGCTGCGCCTCCTCCACACACGCGCGCACGCACACACACGAGCTTGTCAAGCGCTGCAAAAATCCATCTCCGCATGCACACGCACACACACGAGCACTCTGGCAAGCTGTATATAAACACTCCCTGTCCGTCAGCCTCTCTCGCACTTGCTCTCAGTCACGCACACACACACGTGCACACACAGTGAGTGGAATCCCCCAGAGGGGAGCTTCAGCACAGCGCTCCTGAATCTCTCACCAGCAGGCAAACAGAGTGTTGGCAGCGAGAGGAAACCAGTTGGAGCCCCCCCACCACCACCACCACCTCACATTTCATTTCTTTTGTGCTTTCACTCGCTCACTATTTTCTCTGATTTCTATTTCTCCATATTTTCTTGTCACTCCTTCCTCCCATCCTTTTCAGTATCACTCTATCACACCCCCCCCCCCCCCCCTATCCACCCCCAAGTTTCACACTGCCACCTACACACCCCACCCTTTCATCTCTTATTATCAGCTGTGGCCCAGAGGACAGCCCGGCAGATTTCAGCCGCAGATTCATTTATCTGTCATCTATCGGGGTGTTGCTGCTCGTCTTTCCCGTTTCACCGTCCTCCGCTCATCTCTCTCTCCCTCCCTCTGTTTTCTCATCCCTCCATCCTCCCTGTGCTGACAGGAGGAGTGCGAGCGAGATAAACACTTGGACTAGATGGCGGTCCAGAATTAGCATAGAAATGGAAGTTTGGAGTCATTTCCCAGGTTCAGATGAGCAGCTCGGCTCCCCTCGGCACAGCACCGCTCGCAGGACGGAGTGTGAATGCACCAAGATAAACGAGCCTCGCGCTCACATACATATATAAATGTTTAATAAATGTAAAGAAAAAACATTTAGTTTTTTTTCCCTTTAAGGGTGTGCTGACTTGCTACGAAGCGCCACCTGACTTCAACCTTATCGCTGTGCCAGGCAGTTTTCTGTCTCTGTGTCCTCTCAGGACTCTAAAGAGCAGACGCCGCTCCAGTCCAATAAAAACCAGTCGGACCACTTAGAGCCGAGGCCCAACGATCACAGCCTCAGACCAGAGACGGCGCTTCCAGCTCTTGAGCGCCTCTATCAAATCTCTTTGTTCCGCTTCCATTATGCTGCGTTCGGAGCCCAGCCATTGTAACTGGCTGCCACAGTGGCGTCCAGGCCCAGTCACGGCACACGCGTGCACACATGCACACACACGCTCGCGTGCGCACGAGCACTGTCTGGCAGGCAAAGCACAGTTGAGTCACTCTTGGTCTCCTCGATGCGTTTGGCGCCAGCTCCAGGATTATGGAGCGTTTGTGTGCGACTGCGTGTTTGTCCAGCACAGGAACACGCTCGCTTCCTGCTCTCTCTCAGCTCCGTCCCACAGGAACCGTAAAAGAAAAGGACTGTTTTTGTATGTGCGTGCGCTCCGTCGGACCTCTGCGTTTGGTTCTTTGTCCAAAAACAACCCTGTGCATTAAACTTAGCTTTCCCCTCTGTGTGTCGGCTCTTTTTCTTGTTTGTTTGCGTTCAGGAGGTGGTGCTGTACTGTCTGGAGAACAGAGTCTGCGAGGTGAATCACAGGGACTATGCGGGCTACTGCGCTCTGCATGAGGCGTGCGCCCGCGGCTGGCTCAATATAGTCCAGCACCTGCTGGATTATGGGGCTGACATCAACTGCAGCGCGCAGGACGGGACCAGGTGAACAGACTCTTCTTCTTCACATGCACACACCAAACAAACAGGCTCTCCACAAAGTGCAAACATGATCCCACCTGTGATGATAACGAATAATTAAGGAGTCCCGAGCTCGCTCAAAGCTGGCGTTTATTGTGTTGTACAAGAGCAGCAATTTGTAGATTAGATGCAGCTTTAAAGAGGAATAGCTAATGCGTTCATAGTTTATTCAATTGAATGCTGGAGGGGGGTCAGCTTTAGGACATGCTGAGGAGTTAAAAATCCCTTTTGAGCTTTATTTAAAACAATAACAGACGTGTAACGTTGTTGTATAAAGAAATAAACCTCGTCTTTAAAAAGTATCTTAAGAAACCTTGTTATTAAATTAAGAATGTAATTATGGTCCAAGCCTGTGTATTTATTTACTGCTGCTTATAGCACAGTGCACACGCTAATTTAGAAAACATACAGTTGTGGTCAGATGTTCATATCCTTTCATTGTGGACATAAATGTCATTATTTTGGAGCATTCATTGGTTTGTCCTATTTTTCTATGGTGGAACAATCTACAATGTATTAATTCACTGATTTTAAAAACAAGAAATCGGTGCTTGATTGGGAATTTATTGTGGATTTTCTCTAATCCACTTATAATTAATATTTCATATAATTGTACATACAAGCTCAACTCACTAATTTTGGTTAAAAGTCACTTGAGCAAGTTTCACATCAATCATTCATGTGTTTTTTTTTCTGGTTTTTGTAATCATTAACAAACTCTTAATGATTCTGTCTATTTGACGACTGTTCTTAGCAGAAATGTCAGAGTTCATTTAAAGTGGTTGGTTTCTTGGCACGGAACTGGCTTTTAAGCAAACGTCACAAATATTGTGTTGAGATTGAGGCTTTGAGAAGACCAGTCCAGAACTGTTAATGTTAGCCTGCTTTACCCAGTCAACGACTCGTTTGTTCATGGTCTTTGTTCCGTTGGACCGAAAGTGTCCAAGTTTTGACCATCTAGCTGTTGATTTGAGCTAAATTTCCTGACTGGTACCATAGTTTTTGCCCTTTAAGTTGCGTTTTTTTTTTATGCATAATTTGCATGCCCTGCGACATACGCTGAAGCGACATATTTATAGATTTTTTTTCTATATTTATAAATCTATTTTTGGCTGTGATATGACCGTTTTTATTCATTCTGCCTGAAAATATTGAACACTACCATTTTCAGCCGCTAGATGGCAGTCGAGCAGTGTGGCATGCTATTGGGTCATGTAATAGGTAAAAGTGCCAATTAATAACACAATCGGCTTGCCATAGTCTGTCAGCTTCGTCCAACTCGCTTGGAGCATCCGTCAAGTCAGCTTCATTTTGCTGCACCGCCCCGGTGAAATGCAGCTAATTTGACCGTTGAAGTGAATTTATTCAGTAAAATTTCAACTGAGACGCACCTTTACTGTAAAGTCGAGCAAACAAATAATTGTTTTTAAGTGGTTATCTTGTTAAATTTCGAAGAAATGCACAGTGACTCGTCCCTCTGTGCATTCCTACTTCCGCATATCGGGTTTTGAAATGCAGCTGATTTGACCGTTAAATTGCATTTATTAAGGAAAAGTTCAACTGAGACTCACCTTTATTATAATTTCGAGCAAACACATAATTATTTTTAAGTTAATCTTGTTAAATTCTTGTTATAGTTCTCCCGTACACGCTCCCGCAGCTGCCATTTGGCAGCCAATGAATTTTTGACACTACACCGGCCCACATTTCCAGGTTGTCAGCGGTGACGCATAACAAATGAGATGTACAGTATACAGCGAAGCGACAGATTTATGTTTTTTTCCCACTTTATTAGACATATTTGGACTGATGGGACTTATAGGGCAGTGTGACGTGTACGGTAGTCCTTCTGCCTTAATATTCCATCCACTATGTGCAATGCACTATAGCATGATGGTACCACTACCGTGCTTGACAGTAGCACACTGTTATCATTGAGAAACTCAACATGGTGATGTTCAACTTACAAGAGAACAAAAGATTTGGGACAGCTGTGAGACTGATTTGTAAAAAGTAACATAATTTATTCATTTTAAGAAAACGTGCACCTTTAACCCCTGCTCCTGGTGTTTAGACCCATCCACGACGCTGTGGAGAACGATCACCTGGATGTGGTGCGGGTCCTGCTATCCTACGGAGCTGACCCCACCCTGGCCACGTACTCTGGCCGGGGTCTCCTGAAAATGACCCACAGTGACAGCATGGAGCGCTTCCTCACCGGTAAGACTGACACACAAACTCACAACAACAATTAACTCTGTGTTTGATTGCAAAGAGGAAACGCTGGTTTTAGTTTTTAGCCGTTAATGAATGAAGTTAAAAAAATGTCCTACATAAAAAGAGGGAGACTGCACACGATGCAGAATTTTACAAATTGGCCTGATTGTGTTGAGTTTGAAAAATTGCTCATAAACAACAAGCCCGCAGAGAGTTTCACACCAAGTGCACGAGGGCATTTTTAATTTCATATTGTAAAATATGTAGAGTGCAATCCCCAGACAAAATAAAATGGAAATTTTTGAATTTATTTGTCTGATTACAATTAGTTTTTAACACCTACAACAGACAATAAGTGTTTTGGCAGGAAGAGCAGTTGTGGTTTATCAAGATGGATGTAAAATCCAGCACATTTGAATAATTACGTACCTTTTATTACAAAACATAAAATCGCATGTGCTGGAAAGAGTTAAAAGCCAACGAGGCGCAGCAAAGGGAGGACAGAAAGGTCGGGGCAGGGGTAAAATGTTTAAAAGACTGGTTACCAACCCAGATCCCCAAAGCCCCCCCTCCTCATCTTGGCTCGTTCTGTTTGCTCTTCTTTCAACGCTCTGACCTCCACACAACCTCCTGGCAAGAAGCCCTCTCTGTAAATCCTCATTTTCCACCTCCGAGCAGCGGCTCGACACGTCCGTCTCTGTCATCCCTTCTCCCCCTCCGGCGCCCTCCCACACACCTCCCCTCCCTCCCTCCCTCTGCCACCTGTTAGATAGGGATTCTCGGCTTGCCGGGGTGCGTGCTGCTGCCGCCTCTGCGCTCCTCTATCTGGTTGCTAAGCAACGGCGACCGTGTTTGCTCAGCGTACGTGCGGAAACGAGCTCCGCTTTGGCTGGAGAGGCGCTGCTTTTGTACGAGTGCCTGTCGATTCACGCTGCTGGAGTCTGACACGGTGCGTGCGTGCGCATGTGTGTGCGTCGTCTGGATGTTTGTAGTTAAGTTGAGTCAACAAAAGTCTGTGTACAAGAGGAGAAGGAAATGAAAGCACGCTCGGGCTCACACTTCCTCTGCAGCCAGCTGCCTCTGACTCTAAGACCCGTTACGTGAGAGAACGAGGGTGAAAACAGGCAGGTGGCAACGGGAGGCACGAACGACTGGAACGACGGCGTCGAGTTGTGACTAGAACGGATGGATCGATGTCGGCGGAGAGAGACGGAGCGCTGCGGGGAAGTGAGCGAGCGCTCGCTGCCCTCCCTCCACCTGGTCCCACTCATCTGGAGGCCGTTAATCCCTCCAAACACTCGCCAGCCGCCCCACGCCTCAGCGCTGGCACAAAGCCCAGCTCTCACTCTGCAAATGTGCGTGCGTGCGTGTGCGCGCGCCCCGCCGAACACACACGTCGCTCTCGCGGTGTGTGCTTATTCAGCTCCCTCTGCTTGTTTGTTTCCAGCCCTGGCTCTGAGTGAGTGTGTGTGTGTTTGATTCCTGGCAGCGTCTGTGGCCCCGCTCTGAACTGAGCCAGCTCCAGCCTAGCGGAGACTGTCCCTCTCCTCCCTGCGGTACAGCTGCTGGCCTCCGACGGCCATTACCCTCACCCCCCCCCACCCCTCCACCTTTTAAAACATTTTGTGTTTGCTCTCTGTTTCACCGTCTCCTTTTCTCTGCTGTCTCTGAGGGCAGCAGTCCGCCTCGCTGACGGTCCCTGGGGCTCTGGCTCTTGAATAACAGCCCCGCTCGTCTCTCTCCGCAGATTATTTTGCTGACCTTCAGGGCCGCTCAGATGACGACCCGGGGCTTTATTGGGAGTTCTACGGCAGCGCTGTGTGTGGTGAGTACCGGTCGGCGCCGTGTGTGTCCTCTTACTGCTTACAAAGACTTTTTTTCCACGCGTCGTCAGTCTCTCCTCTTCTAGTCGAGGCGGCGTTTATAATTTAGATGCTTTTGTTTGTCCAGAGTCTAGTCAAGAGGGTGGGGTTTACGACGTCCTCGCAGACCCTCCAGGCCCAGATGATGAGGAAGAGGATGATAAACGGGAGGTGTTTGAGTTCGAGTTCTCCGATCGACCTCTGCTGCCTTGCTACAACATCCAGGTGTCCCTGTCTCAGGGGTGAGCTTTGATCTCTGAAGCAGACACACCTTTTTATTGGTTTTAATGTTTGTAACTCACTATTTTTACACATTTTCTTTTCCTCAGACCAAGAAACTGGCTGCTGCTGTCCGATGTGCTCCGGCGGTTGCGAATGTCCGCCCGTGCGTTCCGACAGACCTTCCCCCACATGGAGGTGGTGACGGTGGCCGAGGCGGAGTTTTACCGCCAGGCGTCTCTATCGCAGCTGTTCTCTTGCCCAGAGGAGCTGGAGGGCTTCCACCCAGACAGCAAGGAGCTGCTGGACCTGGTGGAGGACAGTACCGAGCTGGCCGCCCTGCTGGGCTCAACACTGGAGTGTCTGGACGACTGCTGGGACCACCCAGGGGACAAACTTAAGGAAAAAATCAAGGCAGTTGCCAAGTTGGGCTCCTTCTGACGCTTTGACTGAACTTTGACCTTGTTCTCTTTCCAAAATGGAGTTTGCTTTAGAACCAATGAGAGGTTACAACAATATGCCTTAGCCTGACCTGGACCAGCACCGGTCCACTGTACTGATGAACTGACCTACTGCCTGACTGGGCTGCTGAATCATTTCCCTCCATTAACTAAGGATCAACGTTTGTGACACAAGAGACTCATTAATGGTCTTATTTTTATAAATTAATATATGTAAAAATAAATATATACAGTATATATAATATGTTTTTTTGAGCTGTTGCTTTGACTCCTCTGTAAGATTTTGTATAGCAGCAGAGTTTGGCCGTTGTGCGTGAGCGCACAGCACATTGTGCATGTGTTTCGTTGTACAGACTAGTCCTGAAGCTGTGCTGTTGAATCCTGTATTTGTGTTTATAGGAAGCACATGACGTCCTTGTTTTTTCTTCCTCTCCTCAAACTTTAGTGCTCGCTTGAGCCTCAGGGGCTACTTTGTTGTAATTTTTTCTGTTTAGGCTGTAATTTAACAAGTAAAACTGCAACATTTTTTGTATAGTAAAGTTTTAAGACGATGTTAATAATTCCCCCTGCGGCACAGACCTTTGTACATAACAGGGAGGCTACTGCAGTAAGGTAAATTTTTGGTGTGCTCAGTTTGTTTTTGTTTTAACTTTGTAATTAAAATATCCCATAATTTGTATTTATATTTTACAGAAGAAGTTGCTTTAAAATAAATATACAAACTGCAAGATGAACTGGCTGCTCAGCTCCTGCCTCATTAATTAATTTATAATCAGATCTCAGGTTGTGAAACCAGTCTCTGCTTAATTACGCAGCAGGGGACCGAGGTAAAAGGTAATCCTATATTGCCATCTTTTGGAAAATGTCAAGCAATTTATTGTTATAGCCTCGGGAGGACACGTTGCTATTTCTCTTCAGTTGCTGACCATCTGTTGGCTTGGAGCGCCCTCTAGTGTTCAGAGCTGCAAATGCACCACGAATGGTGATAACTCCAGTTTCTAGGATTGTGTATGAGCACAAAACAAACATTAAAACTTCATACTCCTTTACTATGGTTTATGGTTGTAGGAGTGACTTTAAGTGGTCATTTATTTTATGACCATGTTCCTTCTCTATATACCCCCCCCCCCCCCCCATGAATTAATGCCAGCAATAAGAGGCAGAATTTTTAAAAGCCCTGTTTTCATAAGAGAAGAGCTGTAATAAATTTAATTTGTTAGTAACAATTCATTAAAATAGTTAACAGGTAAAAGAAACACCATGTTTTCAGTAATTATTAGTCACATGTTGCCAGTCACATTCTCTGGACAGTCCAGAAGTTATCATTTGTTGCATAAAACAGCATCATGATGGTCTGGAGGTGCATGACATCCTGCACTTAGAACCAGTAAACGGATAAGGGTATTGAAAATGTTGACCAAAATTTACAGATTTAGATGCTTCCGCATAAGGCTGAATTAAACTTTGAACATTTAATGCATTATCTTTTGGACTGTTCCCGTGATATTTTGAGACTTGAAGGATTTAAAAACAGTTGCATTCTGTTCGACTTCTCATGTTAGCATCCTGACTGTTGAAATTGGTTCGTCAGCCACAGTTTTTCACAAAGTAGCATACACTGGTTTGTTTGGAATATGTACCACAAAAACATCTTGCTGTCTTAAATACTATCAGTTCAATTCAATTCAAAAATACTTTATTAATCCCAAAGGGAAATTATTTTGTTGTTGTAACTCATTATCTTCATTAAGAGATATTATAGATGCTGATGGCTGTAGACAGGAAGGATCTCTTGTAAAGGTTCATCCCACAGTGGCTCCTAAGAAACTGGCTGCAGATGCCGTCAGATCCGTCCACCCAGACTTGTCTGGCCTCTTGGTTCCCCCGGTCTGTAGGACCACCAGAATGCCGGGCAGAACTCCTCCCAAAGCAATGGCCACTCCTCCCAGCAGCCTGCCGAGCTCTTCGTCGCTGCGGACAGCCAACTGTAGGTGTCTGGGGACGATCCTGTCCTTCCACTGTCATGAGCCGTGTTTCCTGCTAGTTGCAGGATCTCAGTGGTCAGGCACTCAAGCACAGCCGGCAGGTAGATGGGAATGCGTCCACAGAACATCCTTTCCAACTCATTTGAGATTTGGGGCTGTAGTTGATATCTTATTTGAGCTTTTGAGATGTTAATCAGCTGCTGTTGGTTGTAGAAAACTGCCTTGTTGCCATGGTTACGCATCCTAACAAATGTCCAAAACTTAAAAAGTTCCAGTAAAAATCCTTCCAGCTGCACAGCATCTGATACCAGAAGAAACAATCATCCAAAAAATGTGATTTACATCCAGAAAAAGAGGAATTAAAGTTTCCAAACGCAAAATCTCAGAATGAAAGTAACAGAGCTGCTCCAACATGCAGCCACCATGAGCGGCGCAATTCTAGAACTGTGACTGTGTCACGCTGTGTATCATACACAGCGTTTAAAATACAAATACACTGCTGTTATGGATTATTTTAAAATGATTGCATCTTGGTAAAAGTAGTTGTTGCTCAGATACGCAGACATAATTTCCTTCTTGCAGAGATTCGTGTGACTTCCTAACAAACAGCTTTCATTGAATTGTTTTGCTATTTCAGGGTTGTTTTGTTTGGGAAACGGTGAACTGTTCCTGATGGGCACTTCAAGTCGACTGGATGCAAGTAATGAGCTTTGATTGGCCTCACAGTCCAACAGCCGCCTCTCTGGATTCATCCAACAATGATTGGCTGCACATCTTGAGTATTCTTCCTTCCTCTCATGAAACGTCTGCAATCAGTTGGTGAATATTTGGATTCAAAAGCCACGGCAGACAAAAGTGTCAATCAATGAGGAATGTTTTGAAGTGACTAAAGTAAAACACTTGGAGTTCAAACCATTTTCCCAACTGCTCTGTGTTTGGAGGATGAGAATGAAGAGATCCATTGCAAGTGGCCAAAGTTAAAAAAAAATTACAACGTTATGCAACTCGGTTCTACTAGTGGTAAGAAAATCAATGAGGTATATCAACACAATGGTACTTCTTCCAGTTATTTAACTGTCAACAATGGGGTACCACAAAGCTCAGTCTTAGGACCCACCCTCTTTACAATCAACATAAGTAATGTTGGTCAGATCATTCCTGATGCATTCTTACATTTCTGTACCGACGACACAGTTGTTTATTGTCAAGCTAAAACAGTTGCTAAGGCTTTCCAGCTTCTGGATTTCACATCATCCAGTCAGATTTGTTCCGTCTCAAACTTGTGCTAAAAGCTGATAAACCAAAGGAAAGGGGTGTTGTTTTCAAACAGCAAGTCAGTACCAGCAGTCCTTCCTTCTGTCACATTTTCGAATGGTGTTCCTATTAAGTTTGTCAGTTATACATACTTGGGAGTCTTGGTCGAAGTGCATCTCTCTTTTAAGCCTCATGTCAAAAACTTGCTAAAGAAAGTGAAATTAAAATTGGGTTTCTTTTTCAGAAATAGATCCTGTTTAATTCTGAATGCCAGGAAACGCCTTGTAACGGCTATTTTCTTTCTGGCCATTGACTACGGTGACATTATTTACATGCAGATGTTGGATGCTGTCTATCATGGTGCACTAAGATTCATAACCAGCTATAACTACCATACCCATTACTGTACTCTGTATTCATCGGTCAAATGGTCATCATTAACTTCACACAGACTCTTTCACTGGTACATAACCATTTCTTGGTCTGCTGCCTTCATTTATCTACTTACACGTCACTTCATCAGTGTCATAAAACAATGGTTTTTGAGGTTGAACCCAGTGGTGCAGGCAGGACTCGGAGAACCAGAGAGTAAAATAAAACACTTAAAAATTTATTTTTTTTAAAATAGCAAGCTGTCAAGGCAGCAAAACTTACTTGTCTCATAAGGAAACACGAGGAGAACACCAGAGACTCAGGAGGGATACCAGATGATGCCCGGACAACAACACAGACACAAACACAAACACACACACAAACACAAACACACACACACACCTGGACAGGACACACAGGTGAAACAAATCAGGAGAAATTATAAACTGGGACACCAGGGGGTGCAGGAACAGGAACTAGCTACCAGGGGGCACCATCCTGACAGTCAGTGCAGATACAGTGTGAACTCTCAAGACACAATTACCTGCAGTGTCCCCTCAGTGCAGACGGAACTCTGCAAAAGGAACACCTTGCAAAAAAGATCTGAAGCTGTCGACTTCAACCTCTCTAAGGCATTTTAAACAACTGTTAAGTTCAATGGAGACATGTTCCTGTTATTAGTATTTCACACTGTTTTATAATGTAGATTGTTTTTATTTTGTTTTATATCACTACTTTTTATTTACTTTTCATTTTATATGCTTATATGGCTGTTTATTGTTGTGTGTACCTCATCTGTTTTTTTTTTTTAACAGGTCTCTCTTGAAAATGAGTCCTCGTGACTCGGTGAGACTAACCTGTATAAATAAAGGTTGAATGAATATCAGATAAATCATGTTGAAATTATCTTCAAGTGTGTTTTTGTATTGAAAAACTAAAGGATATGCACTGTAATTTAGCAAAGGTATAAAGAAAAATCTTTTTGAATGACGTTTGGGAATTTGATGCCTGCAGGCCGAAAAGAAGTGGAGCATCCTACATTTAGGTAAAGGTGTCACATGAGTGACAGCTGACAGGCAGCTAATTGAGATACTAAAAAAATGAAGTTAGTATCTCAGCCCAACCAGGGAATTAAGAAAACTGTATCCTGAGGCAGTAGGTCGTACTTTGCACTGAGCGCCACTTTGGCTAACTACTTGCCTCTGGACATCACCAGCTTTAATGGTTTCTGAATGGACATCATCAAGATAAAAAGGTGAATATATTATGCAGAATTAGTGTTTAGTCCCAACCTTCTTCACAAAGAGGAGCTGGCCTTCCTTTGACTATTAGTGTTTGACTCAATTTCACTGCTGGTTAACATGTAAGCATTTTATTTCATTTTTATTATTTTTGGTGGTTAAATTAGCTTGCATAAAACGCTTCTGGTATGACATGCAATTTTGAATATTTTTTCATGAGAACTGATACTAACTACTAGAAGACGTGGTTTCTGTAACGGATTTGGGAGAAAATAAACAAGAATTAACAAGGTTGTTGCCAGATGTTGGAGAACTTGGACATTCTTTTGAGAAAATGGCTGCTGGAACAAAACATTTGTGGACAAGAGTAAAATAAATTATACTGTAAGAATGTTTCTACGTGAGCAGGACCAAGAAAGACATACACACAAGATGCAGGGTCTTTACAGAGACTTTACAGATTGAGTAAGAGGCACCTTCTGACCCAGGTGTTTAATGTTCCCAGGAGGAATTTTCTGTCATAACTAGAGATTGACGAGTTACAACAAAGATGCTATGATAAGATGAAATCAGAACATAAAGTCAGAGGATACATCATCATCCCCAACATCCAAGAATGGATACCAAGCATTGATAAACAGAACATGAGGTCAGCTGGCTTGAAAATGAAGATCATAACAAAGTTAAAACACCTATGACCTCCTTCTTTGCCACGGCCAGTTAACTCTGACTGAAGTACAGTAAATCATGAGTGACTGAATGAACAAATAATGAATAAAACCCATGCCGATATCTCCTTTTTATTATGTTCAAAATGATACAAATGTCAGGTACTAACACAAGTGTTGTAAAATAGATAAATTGATGTTTATGTGCAATTTCTACCCAAGAAATGTAATGATAGTTGTGATATTTGTGAAACCAATAATGCTCAGTCAGGTCATCTGAACAGTTTCTTTTTTGTAGAGATGTTTCACCCTCTATCCGGAGGGCTTCATCAGCCTTGAACCACTTTGGCTGTGGCTGCCTGCCTGGGAGAAGTCAATGGAGGACAGGACAGCCCCCAGAAACCATCTTATCTCCAGCAAACTGGTTGGTCCCCTTAAGGATTTTACTGCTTGGTGGGGAAACACTTTACTTGGAACTCGTACTGCGATTTTGAAATGATTTTTTTTTTTTTTGGACATTCAATAGAATCTTGGTTGCTTTTTTTTAATGAGGAATGCTTTAGTAATTATAGGGTTAAGCGTTTGATCAAACAGGTGCCTTTATATAAGCAAAGAGCAAACAGTTGTTTAACAAATTAAATCATGAAATCAAATGATTTCAATGTGCACAGAATTTTTGAAATTATGATTTTGTGATCAAAAACATCTCAGTTCCTGAATTGTCTGTACAGAATATGACAAACTTTGTAGACACACAAAGTAATGTGCTATTTTTTAAATTAGTAATGAAAGACACTGCAGACAGGCCAGCCCCTTTTCACAAAACTTTTTAAAGTAAAACACTGAACAGAAACACAAAGTTAAAGCTGGAAAGAATCTTATCTATTATACATATTTTAGTACATTTGCTATCATCTAAAAAACAAAAAGAGCTCCAATGATAAGAAGCTTTAACATGTGAAGACAAACTGTTCAGCTTTTAGCTGTCCTCCTCCTGTATTACAAATTCTCCCATCATGCTTTGCTTCATGACGTCAGGTCAGCTGACCGCCGCTGTAGCAGAAGGAGAAAGATGTCGGTACCAAACCGCCGAAGGATGGAGGCAGCTTTTAACGCCGCGTTTGCTCTTTGCTTTCTTGTCACAGCCGGTAGGAACTGTACAACTTCAACCAACTCCTGTTAATCTTTCTGCGCTGCTCTCATCTCGTTTAATCCTAATCATGCAACTTCCGGGATTAGCTAAAACGGTCAATGACAGGATGCCGTTCAGACCATCATCATGACATGTACTCGGACATTTATCCGTCTCAGCTCACGCTATTATGTCTATTGGAATATGAGAAATCAACAGTTTGTTTAGAATAATACACGGCACAAGTTACATTAACTAGCCTCACCGCTGTAGATTATCAACGTTAGCATGTCGCTAACTTTAGAGCTAGCTTCTGCAGCTAGGGTTAAATGTCTTAATTATTAAGAGGATTAAAAATGTATTCGAGTGATATTCAAAAGTTGTGCACAATTCTGGATATTTCTAGTAGATAGTTGTGAATTACTCTGTTCTGTCATGTGACAAAGCTCCCGAGCAGTTCCTCTTTAACATCCATAATCATCCCTGTCACGAGTTTATGCCTCCCTCCACAGGGCTGAGATGTTAAAGCTCTGACTAACACAGCTTTTAATATTTCGAATCTTATAATGACATATAATTAGGTTACAACACGTAAGGCAGGAAAAAAAAAAAACTATATTTGAGATTACAGCTGTACAAACTTAAGTAAGGCTTAAAAAGCTCTTTAGTACATGTAATCTGCTTTTCACAAGAGGCTGATAATTCATAATTTCCTCATCCATAAAAAGAAAATCACAAATGTGTGCTTCAAATGTTTTGTTTCTATTTAAAAGCTGCCATTGTGGGTGCCAATATGCGGCTTAAAAACCCAAATGGAGAACAAAATTCTGAGTGTTTATAGGCTTCAGAAACCAAACAAATTCATTACACAAATACATTTTCGAAACAAGATTTAAAATAATCTATAATTCATTTATGTCCAATTTTAAAGGTACAGGATGTCAGAATATTTAGAAGTGAGTACATTGCTGTTTTGACGTGTGCATACATGCACATAAGTAATCTGAAGCATATATGTATTTATATATATTTTATTTCTTATATTATCTTTCCTTTTGTAAACAAATTCAGAATAACAATTTTATCTACGTACAACACAGTGTTTGAATAAAATTTGTTCTGGAAAAACAGCAGTTGGAACAGTGAGATATTGAGCTCAGAGCATAAGTTGAGCTTTTAAATGTACCATTACATTTTATTCATATAGCATTAAAGTAAATTAGTTTAAGACTAAGAAAACACATTGGTCCAAAAGATCAATGTCTGTTAGACTGAGGTTGTTGTCATTTTCTTCTTGGATTGAACATGTATCCTGTTTGTCCCTCAGGTGTCCATGGGGACAGCTTGACGGTGCTGCAGGCTCCAGAGTTTGTGTCTTTCCAGAAAGGTGACTGGCCTGTATCTGGAGAGAAGATCCCAGACCTGGTGGCTCTAACCATGGGCTTTTCTGTTCAAGAGGTGCTTTGTTCCCCACCGTTTAATTTCTCCTTCATATTTTTTAGGATTAGTGTAAGCTTGTTGTCATGGTAACCTGATATTTTGTCTGTACAGGACTTGTCCTGGCCAGGCCTTCAGGCCGGTCCGTTGTTTCAGAGACCCCGAGCTAATGTGCTAGTTGTTGTGAGAGGAGTCGATAACTTGTCCCTGCCTCAGAATGTGGCCTCCTACCCCCTGGAGAACGTAAGCCGGGCAGTTTTGAATTTCAGAAATCTGCTGTAGCTTAATTTGAATGGATTTACTGAGATTGTTGTGTATCTTCCCCCATTCAGCCAGTACCCTTCACCCTGGACAGTGTTGCAGAGACTGTGCACTCTTTGTTTGCTGAATACACCCCTGTGGTGCTGCAGCTGGCCCCCAGTGAGGAGGTAATACAATTCAGCCAACTCACAACTGGGAACAGCAAATCTCTGAGCCATCACTGTGACGAAACATTTTTGTTACATCACTAAATTATTGTTCTCCCTTTTTCAGCGACTTTATATGCTCGGTAAGGCTAATGCTGTGTTCGAGGACCTGCCTGTCACCTTGCAACAGATACGCGCACGTCTGTCTCAGGACGGCTCGGTGCTGACTTCTCTTCCCCTCAACTCTCTCAGCAGAAATTCAGAGGCAAGTTTCTGATCACAGTGGCATCAAGAATTAGCTTTAGCAGTCAGATATTTTGTTTTTTAGAGCAAAACTGTTCTACGACTCACCCTCAGCTAAAATAATTTGGTGTGTGTGTGTGTTTAGGCTGATTTACTCTTCTTGTCTGAGGTTCAAGTACTGCATGATATCACAGCTCTGGTAAGTTGCCAAAAATAGTTAGAGATGATTTTTTTTCTTGATGAAAAGTATAGTTGACCAAGTTTGACTTAAATTATCTCCACCTCCTGTAGCTTCAGAGACACAGACATTTGGCTAAGGATTACTCCCCGGACCTGTACTCTCTGGAGCTGTCTGGCTTGGAGGAGCTGAGTCGACTTTATGGCAAAGACTCTCCTCAGTACCGCGACGCCACAGCTATCCTGTCTTCTGTCCTTCAGAAGGTAAGAAGGAAATCTGAAGAAGGGATGCTGCTGAATATTTTTACATTTAGCCTGGTTTTAACTACCTGTCTGCCTTTCTTTACAGTTTGGGGAGGATATGTTTCGTCTTTATGGCAACAGCGCTGTAGTGGAGGTTGTTACAGTGAAGACTTTTGAAACACCTTTGACCAGGAAGTCCCGTTCGATCCTGCAGGCCAAGCAAATTGTAAGTATGAGGGGAACTTTTCAGTATTTAATGAACTGTGTATGAATGTGCACCTGTTTAATTAAAAAAAATCAAAACATATTTTTTAGAAAACAAACAGAACACTTTGTTTCTGGTTGCTTTTTCACTTATTTTTAGTCCAACTTGTCTTGTTTTCAGAAAAAAAATGCTTTTGTTAGCTTGTTTATTTAGGTCACAACTCTGACCTATCAATCATTCAACCTTAAAAAACGATCGTACTCACAAGGATGAACCAGTGCTGTAACACTTAAAAAGCAACAAACCAATTTTAGATTTGATCTTTAGGCACTTTATCAACAGACTATCATAACATCATCATTTGTTTCCACGTCTTTGGTTGAACCTCTGAAAAAAATACCAAAGATACCACAGTTTGACAAAATAGTAGCATTTCATCACCAAAAAGCTGATTCTGAAGGAGCTTTCTGCTGAAAACTTAAAGAGCAAAATAAAATCTTATGGTTGCTGCATCTCTCAGGTCTTTGCTGTTTTTGTTTTCCTCTTTTTAACACCATTACTTTCAGATACTGGCTATATATCTATTACTTTTTAGGCCTAAAGACTATTTTCTTTACACCATACACTGTACAATATGATGTCATTGTCTGGTACAAAGACAGGAAAAAAAACAGTCCAGAAAAAAACTTTGAAAGACTTTCATAAATTTGGATGATTTATCGAGATCATTTAGAAAGTTTATAAGGACGTCTGTTTTTTTCAGAGCTAAAGTAATCACGAGGGATGTTTAAAACCTGAATTTTAACCACCACACATTTCTTTACCTGGTAGCTTCTGTCAGTCAAGCTCAACTTAATTCCATAAATACCTGATTTACCCCCCCCCCCCACACATCTCCCCCACACACCGACACACCACACCACCAACACA